CACCCGGGATCCGAACCCGGGCCGCCAGTAGCGGAGCGTGAGCACTTAACCGCTAAGCCACGGTGCCGGCCCATTACGTATCTTCTCATTTAGTTTTACCAACTGTTAACATGTAGTCCCATCTCCTCCTCCTCTCTCTCTCCCTCTCTCTCTCTCTCCCCCCACCTCTGCCCGCGCGCGCACACACACACACTTTTTTGTCAAACCATTCAAAAGCAGACTGCAGACACCATGATACTTAATACCTCTGCATGCATCTCCCCAAAACAAGAATATATTTTTTTCCAATTACAACATCATTCCCAAACCTAAGAAGTCAACAGTGATCCAACAACTTCAAGTTACTGGTTTTTAAATAAAATCTTCAGCCTTATACAAGGCCCTCGATGACCATTAGAAAATGAAAAGCTATTTAATTTTTAGCAGATTTTTCATTTTATACTAGAGATTTGGTATCAATCAATGCTTTGACCTGTAATCAACACATGAGGTCTGATCTCAATGAGTGGCTGTCACAGTTCTAAGAATTCTTAGGACTCACACGGTGGCCCCTGGAGGTCGGGCGTGGGGCTCTGCATGTGAGCACATTGTTCCCCTGAATTCCCTCCTGCCTGGGGTCTGGCTTCCCATCACCACCCACTGCAACTTTGCTCCTCTGTTTTTGTCATCAAAATCACAGTTCCTGACTTTTTTCATTATTGTCCGTCAGTTTGGGTCTTGACCCATTAGGGGTAACATATTTAGTTTGTTTATATTTGGTTTTATTGTTTTCACATTAGGGTAGAAGGCTTATTTGATGGTTCAGAGCCAGCTGGTTGGTTAGTTGAAAAATTTAGTTAAAGCGAGGAATCAAAAACACAAACAGATACATGAACACTTTAGACATTTTATTTTAACTCAAAACACATAAATGCACACCAGTTCTTCTATCTTGTGAAATAGGATGCAGGTCTTTTCTTTGGGAATGGATCTGCTATTTAGAGTTCTATGACATCATTCTTGCTACGTCACACACATAAGGTACCATCAACAATTTCTAGTGTTGCTTTCTTTGAACCAGGCCAATTGCTTAAAGATGCTTGCGGAGCAACCTGAGTTTAGAGTCCTTCTAGATGTTAATTCATGTTTTTCTCTAACTTTTTAAATGTTATCTCAGCCACACTTAATTGAATAGCAGTTTTCCTATCAACTTTATTTTATTCAATCTTCTAACCTAGTTTCACAGAAACACATGTCTCTTATGCATTCATATTTAACCGATTTGTTATTTAATATTTAATTAAGTTACTTTGTTACAATAATAAGTGCAACTGGCAGAAACAACTAACTCTTGGCAATCATAAAGCTCCATCAGTGCAGCAGACATGTGCCAGTGTACTAGGGAGAAGCCTAAGGGGTCTCAAGTGGGCAGTGAGCAGTGGGCGTCAATTAGTCTATTATACAAAAGGTATAGAAAGTTCTGGCCAGTCCAGTGGTCAGTTAAATGGAGAGTGTTTGGGAAAGGGTCTACTGTACTGTCTACTCGTAAATATCTACCACATCATCCATGTGCAGGTGGTCAGCCCTGTTGGCAAGACTCCAGAGCCAGGTCTGTGTTTCTACGGCCAGGTTAGCAGAACTGCTCCAAAATCGTTCCAGCTTTAATTTTCAGTTAAGTTGGCAAGGCGTGGCCTGCCTATACGTCTGCACAACTGGGTTGATTAGGACTTCAGAGTATGTGACAATTTTGCTGACATGGGGATGCACCACGTGATTGAATAAACTCAAAATTATAGTCAGGGCAGCTCTCTGGCAGTTGTCTAGCCGCTGTTCTAGAAGCAAGTGCTGCTTGTGTGATACTGCAGAGAGCCTGGCACAGGGCCACGTGAAATGAAATGCTTCACTGTTTTTGGGTGGTAATGGCAGCAGCCCCAGACTCAAGATATTCATTTCTCTCAATTATGTTATTTTTCCTGAAGTAAATTTTTAAATATGTAAATGTGTTTCAATAATTCAAATAGATTATTTGGCCAAAAGATACAGTGGCCGTATTTTCATTTTCGTTGATTTTGATCCACTTTTTTGGACCCGCTTTCGAACCACCATCATTATATTAATGGAATATAACCCATTAATTACTATTCAAGTGCTAAATCACTTAAAAACCAGTATGGACAAATACTACTAACCATTAAAAAAGCATGACTGATGAATATTTCTTAAGCAACATTTTTATGATTTTTTCCTCTTGCAACAATAAAGTACCTCATAATTTCCATTTATCTTAATGAAGTAAGAAATCATTTGTCACGAGCAGAAAGCTCTTAATAATGATTTTATGGCTTTTCTCCCCCTGCTAACCATTAACACATCAGGAAGCAATCCAAGATTACATGATGTTTTAGTACTTTTGCATATTAAACAGTTAAACTTGTGAGAATCATTCATTTAACAGTCACATTCATTTTTTAACGACCTCACTTTGAATGCAAAATAAACTTTCATAGTATAGAATTTAAAAAGGTTTAGAAATCCAGAAATCACAAGCTGTAGGCCAAACCTATGTAGGATGTGTTTCCAGATTTGCCGGCTATTAACTGGAGCTTTGGATAAATTACTTAATTCTTCCAAGTTACCTCATCTGTAAAGGAAGATATTAAGATCTCTCTTGCAGCGTTTTTGTGAGGAGGATCTGAGACGCTGTCAATAGGGAGCCTGCAGAGAGCCCTGCATTCAGTAAAAGACACAGTAGATGGGGGCTGCCTCTTCTTTTTTGCTGCAAAATCCTCAAAGGACATACGTGCTACTGTCCCATCCTTTCCTCAGTCAGTCCCAACCAGCCATGGTCTTCCCAGACATTTCCTCCTAAAGCCGTTTGTCCAATGCCCAAGAACTGGTCCTGATTAAGATCAGTGGTAAGAGAGACTGAAAAGTACTTTTGTTAAACTACAAATGTTAATAGTACTCTTAGAGTATACTAAATACATGAGTCGATGAACCAGATGTTATTTGTACATAAGCACAGATACAATTTATTTTACTTGTTTAATAACATACTGGTTTGAGGCGGCCGGCCCCACGGCGTGGTGGTTAAGTTTGGCGCACTGTGCTTCGGCAGTCTGGGTTTGTGGGTTCAGATCCCTGGCACGGACCTACACCACTCGTCAGCGATGGACCTACACCATGCTGTGGCGGCGACCCACATACAAAATAGAGGAAGGGTGGCACAGATGTTAGCTCAGGGCTAATCTTCCTCAAGCAAAAAATAATAATAATAATAATAATAATAATATATTGCTTCGAAACCCCAGTGGTACTTGATGCCTATAAATGAAAGGAGCCAAATCAAATATATTATACAAAGGCAGCAAGCACTTCCAGGAATGCTAACCAGCGGGCTTTCATACTCTTCTCTTTGTCTCAATTCCCATCCCACCCATGTGTCACCCACACATTGCCTTCTCTTATGGGGCAGTATGGCAGAGGGGTTAAGGGCACGGGCTCCAGGGATGACTTTCTGGGTCTAAATCTCAGCTCTGCCAAGTCACCTGTGTGACTTTAGGTGCCCCCCCAGTGCCTCGGTTTCCACATCTGTAAAATGCGGTCAAATGGGTTGACACTGTTAAAGAACTTAGACGAGTACATAGGATGCTTACTGAGGGCTGTGAAGGAAACCGGAATATGTCACCGCCTAAATATGCCTCTTTGACATAAAAATTATTTTGAGCTGAAGGCAATTAATAAGGAGTAAATGCAAAAAAAGTTACCCTTTTTCTGCCTAAAGGCAGGAAATAAATTCTCCTTTTGCTAGAGACAGACTCTCATCACCAGAGGACTCTGCAAACAAACCTTGTTAAATTCACCCTCATCTTCCTAGTTACTTCTTCACCATTTACTCCCCCAGCCCGAACCCCTCTTCTTGTCAATTCTTCATAAATTTACTGTTTCTTTGTCTAAAAAGTCTAAAAGCTTCCTGCTCTGGTCGCTGCCTCGGGTATTCATTCTCTTGTGAAGGCTCCATGCACGTGTAAATATTGAATAAAATTTGTATGCTCCTGTTCATCTGTCTTTTTCAGTTTAATTTCCAGACCCAGCCAGCGACCCTAATAGGGTTGAGGAAAACCTTTTCCTCCCCTACAGCTGTTACTGTGGGCTATCAACAACATGGGCTATTACTAATTTATTCACTTAATATTGCTACTTAAATGCTCTTGAGTTGAGAGCTTGTTCCGTTTACTAGACCACAAGGAGGAACCATGTCCCACAATCTTTATACCCCCTCAGCGCTGGCAAGCAGGAAAAAATTATCCTTTATTCTTAAAACTAATAAAGGATCTAATTATGCACATACATGTTTTATTGTTCATTAATAGGTCAGCAAATATGCACATATATTTTTAATTGTTCATTAACAGGCCAGGAAATAATTTTCAAATCATCTTGGATGTCTCCTTTCTACTCTCAGAACACCAGATGCCCAGTTTGTGTGTGTTCTCGGGAATCAGGAGTGACCTTCCCAGCCCTCTCTCTCGTCTCTCCTCCCCCATGCCCAGCCCAGCCTGGTTTAGCATAAGGGGAAATTGGCAACGTCCAAAGTTGGTTAACACTCTACTGAGCAGGTCTGTTGATTTTGCATTATGATTATTGACCCTCTGCCCAGCCAATGGCCTGAGGCAAAAGTTTTTGTGTGTGAAAAGAAGAGCTGACCAAGTGCGAGCGACTGTGCCAGACAGACTCCATGAGCTGTCCTCTGCAGGGCCCCCCGTCCCCTGTCCGCCTCAAGCAACTGCCCATGAGCCTTGGCAGCATGCCCTCCAGTAAAGGAGAATGACACTCATGCGCTGCTTCCCCAGTGGCCCTTTCTTCCCTGCCCAGAAGCCACTGTCACCACACCTGGGTATCACACAGCCCTCCCTGCAACCGTCACTTCCTATCTTTCATCTCCTGTCCAGAGAGATGTCACTAGTCTAGACATCTAAGCCAGCTGCCCGTTTTTGATTCTCTGGATGACAGCAGACATACAGATCACTGGGTTTGACAAAGAAGGTGGCAGTCAGAGTTCTCTGGTACGTTTGGGAATAAACACTATGATAAGAAAGTTTTGCCCATCTTGTGTAATGCGTTGAAGAGTATTTATACCTATAATTATTAACTCCATGTTCTTTTTTTTTTTCTTGCCCTAAAAGGTTTTGAGTCCAATAGGACTGAGAGGTCTTCACCATTCATGTAAGATTAATAGGGGCTGGCCCTTTGTCTGAGTGGTTCAAGTTCCACATGCTTCACTTTGGCAGCCTGGGTTTATGGGTTTGGATCCCAGGCAGGGACCTATGCCACTCATCAGCCATGCTGTGGTGGCTACCCACAGACAAAATAGAGGAAGGTTGGCGCAGATGTTAGCTCAGGGTGAATCTAGCTTAGCACAAAAACAAAAAATTAAGAGAGAAACTAAAGAAGCGATCAGCACAGAGCTTTAGCTGAAGATGGTCTTCCACCTCAGAATGGCACACAGGAATCTCTCTGTTTTCCTCCCAGCCCTCCGTTTTTGGCTTCCCCTTCCCCCACCACACTTCAGTCCAAGGATTGTTGGGGGGAGGGAATAAGTAATGCAATTTAAGGATTGGAAGAATCCAGTAGATAATCTAATCCAAAAGTTCCTAATGTTAGAACGTCACAGAGCAGTAAAAAAAAAAAAAATTTTTTTTTGAATGGAGACCAACATCAGATTGTCTTATTTATGTTTTGCTATGTAAGGGCCTGGTGGTCTAGTGGTTAAGATCTGGCATTCTCATCCCCACGGTCCAGGTTCGTTTCCTGGTCAGGGAACCACACCACTCGTCTGTCGATTGTTATACTGTCGGTGGCTGTGTGTTGCTGTGATGCTGAAAGCTATGCCACTGGGATTTCAAATACCAGCAGAGTCACCATGGGACAGGTTTCAGTGGAGCTTCCAGACTAAGATAGACTAGGAGGAAGGACCTGGCCGCACTTCTGAAAATATTGGCCATGAAAACCCTGTGAATATCAGAGCATTGTCTGATACAGCACTGAAGGTGAGAGGATGAGGCAAAAGACCAGGCAGGGTTCCACTCTGCTGTCCACAGGGTCACTGGGACTTAGAATCAACTCAGTGGCTCTACCACCAGCAAGGCCAATGACCACCTCCAAACACAAATAAACAAATCTACCCCCCATATCCACCAGCTGCAAATCTATCATCTATTATCACCACCATTCCACAAGACAAGAAAACTAAACCACTGTAAAGGAAACAAGTAAATTCTCATGGAACACAAGATGTCCGTTTAAAATAGAAACAAATAGCTTTTGCTTCACAAACAGTATCTACACTGTTGTTATTTTTCTCATCTGTCTGGGTCTGGTGAAAGTCTCAGGGCCAACCAGGCACGACTTTGGGAAGCACTAAAGCAGCCACGGCTGCCCCCTCGCTGCCGCCCCCATCTCTCTGGTTGGCCACTATTTGCTTAGTGACCTATTGCCACACAGTTTTCTCTTTGAGAGGCGCCAGCAAGCTAATCTCACACAGTGTAATGCATGCTAATCAATTCATGTTTAAAAATCTGCCTGGTAACTGACACATTTTTCAAAAACCAACGCCTCTTAAGATAGATAGACACACACACACACACACACACCTGCCACAATGCCACAAATGGTAGAAAATTCAGACTCCAGACTGACAGGTGGACACACATGTTGGTGCAGATGGGGCCCCTTAGGTTGCATGCCTGGTGTGCCCATGGGTAGGACCAGGTCTTTCAGAAAATATCTTTGATAATATTAAAAAATAAAATGTAGCTTGTACACAAAACTCACCTCTCCCTTTGTCATTTGACGACCAGTGAAGAAGCACTTGCTGGGATTTTTACCTGTTAACTGACAATTGAACCAGGCGCTTCAAGGTTCTCGTTGATCTCTGCAAGTGGGCTACTTCAGATGGGAGTAAACCTCCCTGGAGAAGGGGCCCTCGGCTCCTGTCCACGTGGAGGGCGACCACATGCCTTTCACCACTTCCACAAGCTGTTACTTGGCTAACCATACAAATTGTCAACAGCAAATTTAAAATGAATTTTAAAGTTTTATATTTTTCAGCTTTGGGTTCTGAGAGAGTTGCTAGGGGTTTTTAGAAACTTTATACTTAATCACAGAAATGTAAGACATTTCAAGGAAAAATCTATTTTCTATCTGTGAACTTAAAAGGAACCTAAAAGGAACGTAAGAAGCTGAGGGTCACCCAGAAGACAAGGCCACTTTTCCAAATGGAAGACTTCTTTCGATTCTGAGGAAGACTCTTATATCACATTATCTGAAAATATGGACACTGTTTGAGTAGCAATATTATTCTGAATAATAGAATAAACAGACTCACTTATGTATGTGAGAGTTAATCCAGAAAGATAGTTGTTTAAATACCTTTATATGTGTCCTCTCCTTTTGAAAAACAGAATAAGATGATGGATAAAGAATAAAAAATAGTATTGATCCACAAGACAAGAAAATAGGTGAGAAGACAAGAACAGATAGAAAATATCAATTAATTTTCGGAAGATGGATGGTGAGTGGAAGCTTTGAGTCAAGTAGAATAGTACATTTGTGAACACTTTGGCACATATCCTTTGTTCCAATAAAAGATAAGATATAAAAACAGAAAATGAAAAAAGACATAAACTCAAAAGCAAGATAAGTGTTTCTGGTGAGCAAAACGCCATGGCAACACAAAGCCGTGGGAGGGGCTGATGCCTAAAGTGGCTGGACTGAGTCTGAGTACTGTGGTACCTGG